CTTTTGACCAATCGATAAGATTACCAACGTCAAATCTATTAGTCTAAAAATCTAATTTACGTCCAAAATATTGTTTTTTCCTAATTGGAATTGAAATCCATTTATAAATAAACCGCCTTAAAAAGTCTCCAAATACCAATCACCCCCATAAACAGAAACAAAACTCTAACTCAAGTTTTTCCACAAATTTCTCCGAACTAGTAATCGAATCCTCTCTCCATGGATGCGCAAATTTGGCGGTCACTTTTCAGAATTCGCTAGTCGGAAAGATCAGAAACTTAGAGTTGGGTCTTGTAAAAGTTTAGAGTAAGTAAGTTGCTGGGTGATGGGCTGCGAGATCAGAAGCTTAGAGTTTGATCATGATATTCATCTATCTTAATGCCTAAAAAGTTATCGTTTTTTCTTCCATTTTCTTATTTCTCTGCTTTGTATCTTCTGGATGCACGTCATTGAGGACAAACCATTTGATCACAAAGCCGATGTCTTCAGTTACACGATTGTAGTGTGGAAACTTTTGAGTGGAGAAGTAAGACTCTTAATTCTCTCTCTCTCCTTCTGTTTGGAATGTCCATGAGGTATCATCGTTAAACTTTAAAGTTCTATTTTTCTCTTGTCTCGTTTAGAGGTTTGAGCACAATGACTTATACTTCTTTTACAGGGATTTAGACTGCAAATCCTGAAGTAGACACATCCGAAACTGACTGAGCTTCTCGAAAAAATGCTGGTAGCAAAACCCAGCTCAAAGACCAGATTTGCAACCATCAAAGAAATGCTTACCCAACTAAAAATCCAGGTTGGAGAGGAGCGCCACTAGTGAAACTTATTGTTACAAACCTCTGTCAATATTTTTTTTTTTCGTTTTGTGTTGTGATTTTTTTGTACATTTTTTATTTTTTGTATTTAGATGCTTTTTTTTAATGGCTTTTTTTAGTAGTATTTCCGAACTTGTGCCATCGTAGTTTTCGGTTAAGACGTAGGGTAAACCAATGTCTATAATCTCCTTCAGGAATTTGTGGGTTATTGATTCGAGTGTAGATATAGATTAATTGCTGTACAATTTCGTCTATAGATATTTTTATTATATAAAATTTCCAAAATCGAATAAATAATATTTATATCATAATGTATATAGAAATTATTTTATCTAATATATACAAATTAATTTTATATAAGCAATATAATATTATTTATATATAAAAAAATAATGAAATGTGCATACATATTTATAAATATCGTATGTAAGGTGTTAAAAATCATCTAAATATATAAATATTTCTTTTATAAATATAGATATATATATATATATTATAAGCGTTTTATATAATATAATAAAGGAATACAATATATCTAGAGTCTAAATGGTAACTGCAAAATTTTTGCAGAATTTATGCGGAATTGCAGAATCTACGGAAATTTTAGTGATTTCTTGCGAAATTTGCTGAATAATGTCAAATTTAAATGGTAGCTGCAGAATTTGCGGAATTTGCTGAATATGATGAATTTTTGAAAAAGTTAATAATTAAAGGAAAATTGGCAAATATAACCAAAAAAAAAATGAAAACATAATAACTAAGCAAACACTATGTGGCACTAATCATAGCCACTAATTTTAGGATTTTTGGTTAG